AAAACCTGACTTGCCCATGTGTATGCTTCAAATACTGACACTTCCTCCTTCTGCAGCATCAGGATGGGAAAAGTGTGGCTGCAAGTGGGGATGGAACTGGTGGGCACCTGGGCCTGGCAATGCCCATGTACTTGACATGCTGCATTGATGCAGGTTTGACAATACAGACAGGCCAGTCTCTGTCTCTGCTTCCTCCCCAATGGCAAACCCATCTGTGAATTAATAAAGGTGGCACTAGTCAATTCCAGTTGCTGATATTTTGTACCCTTATTTCCATCTGCTTGCAGTGCTTCTTTGGGCAGTCTGCTAATACTGTATCCCTAGCAAATCTTAGTCTGATCTTGGTTGTTCAAAATTCGTTGTAGATTTTTAAAAGGATAAGAATAGATACAGCCAGGTATTTTCTGTTACTCATTGTAGCTAAATTCTGCTTGGTGCACTAGAGTACTTTTTATTTCTACAAAAACAGACCACAGTTAATTTCTGTTTCCAACCCAATGGCGTGTTAGGATATTGCAGCAAATATAGCAAAGAATCTAGTACCACCTTAAAGATGGAAAAATGTATGGGATAATGCAAGAGCTGATTTCAAGTATCAAATGACGTAAACCCTAGTTCATGAAGACTGGAGTCATAACATAAGTCTTTGACAAGGCACAAGATTCAGCTGTTTTAGTTCTTCTTTGTTTTATATGTAGAAACGACAATGTAGTATTTCATGTGTTTGTCAGTTTTTCCAAGTTATAAACCAAACTCAAGATCCAAATCCCTCAGGTAATCTCACATTTTACTTGAAATGTTAATATAGCTGTTATATTCTGGCAATCTATCTCTTGATGAAACAAGCAGCTGTCTTAACAGTGTAAGAGAAATACTGTAAGAAGCATGCTGGTAGCTTCAGCTTTTTTATGGCCGAGGAAAGATATTATGCAACATTAAGTCATTTTGGAGTCATTAGTTTATGTATTCTCTAGTACAGAGGTCGTCAACCCTGGACCAGGCAGCAGAGACAGACCTCCCGCCCCTCCCGCATGCACTCCCCTCCCCACAGCAGCTCTGTGCATGCGCACACGTGCCAGCGCCGACATGAGCGCTCCGCCACCCCTTCATGCATGTGCCCAAGCACCTGCACGAAGAGGTGGGGGGGTACGCGCTCCTGTGCTTGCAAGAAGGGATGGGGGAGTGCTCATGCTGGTGCTGTTGGGCATGCACGCACTCCCCCACCACTTCACGCATGCCCCCGAGAGCGTACATGCATGCGCCCAAGAGCATCCACGCAAGTGCGGTGGGTACCCCGCCTTACTCAGAGGCTCAGCCATCCACGGTCCCAAAAAGGTTGGGGACCGCTGCTCTAGTACACAGAATCACAGGTAATGTGAAACTGATATAACATGTATCTATACGGATAACTCTCTTCAGTTATCAAACACAGCCCAGCTATTTATGAGTTGTGTGCGAAACATAGATTTGGTGGAAAACACAGAAATAAATTCACTCTAATGTTAACAATTTTATGTGATTACAGATGCGGTAAGACAAATAAACTGAAAATGAGTTAATGTCCAGGTAAAGAAGGATTACATTTTAAATGAATGGATATAGGTTTGATCTCTGCGAATAATGAGAAAGCTTGAACATTGATACTAATAGAGAATGTATGTGTAACAATTACTGTATGTGCTAAAGTGGCATTGGCTTGCAATGCAACATGAGTATAAACCAAACTAAAATGACTTGGTTTTTGTGGTGTCATTGTAATGTTAACTATAGTATAATGCTGGTGATCTGTTACTTTACTTACTTTACTTTAATTAGATTTATACCCCCGCCCCTCTAGACCAGGTCTACTCAGGGCGGCTTACATACATAAAAACATAACAAACAGCATCTTAAAAGCAATGAAAACATCAATGCTTTTAAGATACAGATAAAAGAATGAATATTCTTTTATGAATGAATATGCCACCAGGGACGTGGTGGCGCTGTGGGCTAAACCGCAGAAGCCTGTGCTGCAGGGTCAGAAGACCAAGCAGACGTAAGATCGAATCCACGTGACGGAGTGAGCGCCCGTCACTTGTCCCAGCTCCCGCCAACCTAGCGGTTCGAAAGCATGCAAATGCGAGTAGATAAATAGGGACCACCTCGGTAGGAAGGTAACAGTGTTCCATGTCTAAGTCGCACTAGCCATGTGACCACGGAAGATTGTCTTTGGACAAAACGCTGGCTCTATGGCTTGGAAACGGGGATGAGCCCCGCCCCCTAGAGTCGAACACGACTGGACAAAAATTGTCAAGGGGAACCTTTACCTTTACCTTATGCCATATAAAATATATTATCTTTTGCAGATTTTTCATTCTATCTATGCCAAGTTTTAATTAAAACTTAAAACAGTTTACTTTGCCATGTAATATCTTACTTGAATTTTATCAATTCCAAATGAACTACTTACTGTGAAACACAATGGCACATATAATTCCCAAGCAGACATCAAAAAATGGGCAACACTAAAATGGCATATGAAATTAAATCATATTCACTTCCAGAAACATTTTGGGAGAGACATGATTCTTCATAATTTGTAAGACTTGACTGGATAGCTCAGTGAGATGGAGCACATAGCTGTGGAGAGACTGATTCTCCACTGTGTGGGAAATTGGAAGTTTGATTCTCCACTGCGTGTTGTAGAAGAAGAGTATGATTTTGGGTAAGCAGCACTGTCATGCCTCATCTTAACTGAGCCCTTCTATTTTGGAGAGGAAGAAGAGGAGGAGACAGTTCAGGAGTTCCATCCTGTCCTGGGGAAATCAAGTGCTTTTCTGAAGAGGAGGTGGCTTAGACGTTTCATCCTGTGTGGAGAGAAACCAGGACAGAGGAAGCGTCCTCAGACCCCAGCACCTCTTGCTGCTCTCCCGCCAAAGGCCAGGAGAGTTAAGAGAGAGCACTGCCATCGGAGCATAAAGGGGATCCAACCTCTCTCACCCCAAAGCACCGTTGTGGCTAAGAATTGGGAAAAGTAAAAGCAGAGCTAAGCACAGGGACACCTTTAAAGAGTTCTGGTTGCAGATCAAAGGCGTGAGGGAGCTGAGGGGAAGAACTACAAATTTCCCTCTTGAGTCGCTGATAGTAACAAATGTGGCAATTGGTTGTCTGTCCGTGCTCCATTCTTACGCTACCTCTGCACCTTGACTGGGAAGATTCCTTGGCTGCTACCTTGGATTCTGACTGGACCGTCTTGCTATTGGACGTCCCCTTGGACTTCCCTGAACGTTGGCACTTGCAAGCTTCACATTCTTCTCAAGTACATGCATGATCTCAGAATGCCCCAAAAGAAAGGAATGGTAAGCCACTTCTCAACATTCTGTACCCACAAAACCCTGGAAAGAGTCACCATAAGTCACAATAAATCTTGCAGTCTGCTAGATCAGAGGACCTGCAATGACACTTAAAATAAAAGTAGTTTAAATGTGCTACTGAAAGGCTAGCAGTGATGGATAATATAAGAGTTCCAGACCTCCATGAAAAAGACTCTGTCTTACTGTTGTACCTCAGACAGCAAAGAAACCAAAATCTGAAGGTTCTGTATTAGTGTTGTACCTTATAAAGTAACACTGAATTAATTTCCCAAGTATGAATCCTACTACAACAAAAAATGGCACCAACCAACCAAAAAGGGTTATTTATTTGTTTGTTTATTTATTTATTAGATTTCTACCCTGTCCCCCCTAGACAGCGTCTACTCGGGGCAGCTTACAAATATCATAAAATATCATAAAAACATCATGAACATTAAACAAGTGAATCAATAATATAGTGTATTCAAAAAGGGGAATGATAGAAAACAAGAAGATAGAATTCAAGAATTGACAGAAGGGAAGGCCGGCCTAAAGAGCCAAGTCTTTAAATGGCTCTTTAAAACACCCAGTGAGGGTGCCAGGCAGATCTCTGTTGGAAGGCTCTTCCATAGTTGAGGGGCCACTGCCGAGAAGGCCCAGTTTCTTGTTCTTTTTTTCCGGACCTCTCTCGGTGTTAGGCCCCTCAACTGTCCCTCTTGGCTGTGCCAAGTAATTCGGGTAGATTTACCTCTCTCGGTGCAATCTGCCAAATACCGTGGTCCCAAAGCGTTTAGGGCTTTATACATCATCATTAACACTTTGAAGTCAATGCGGAAACGAATGGGCAGCCAATGTAAGGCAGCCAGAGTGGGAGAGATATGCTGATGTTTTCTCACCCCACTAAGGAGTCTGGCTGCCGCATTCTGCACCATTTGAAGCTTCCACATCAGTCTCAAAGGTAGCCCCACGTAGAGCGCATTACAGTGGTCTAATCTCGAGATTACAAGCACATGGATGAGAGTGATGAGGAATCCCCCATCAAGGCAGGGTCGCAGCTGGGCAATCCGCCACAGATGGAAATAGGCAGAGCAGGCCACAGACGCCACTGTTATCAGCCGACTTCAGGGACCAAAGGTTTTCCAAAAACAATTTAAAAAAAAATCTTTTAAGTGAAAAAGCCCTAAGAGGGAGAATCCAAAAAATAACATCAGATTAACAACAGCACATGACATATTACACCATGTCATCATTGATTTTACAAAAATAAAGCCAAAATGGAAAAAAAAGCCTCTTAATTCCTATGGAAGCAGTAAGGGTGTAGTTCGTTTTTCACACATGGCTTCTCAATTTTGGCTCTATTTTTTGTTGTTGTTCATCTGAGGCTGCATTTACTTAATTTTCAAACCTACTAAGGGCCAAATGATTTTCATTATGTCCTGATGTATAAAACCATAGACTTCAAAGAGGGTGTACTTTCTTTTTCACATACTGTATGTCTTGAAAACTTACTTACTTAGGCATCCTTCAGTCTCGAAAGACTATGGTACCGTGCTCTGTATGGAGGACTTGGAACAGCGTCTAGTGTGGCTGAGGAGGCCGATTCGAGAGTGACAGTCTCTTCCACACTGAAGACAAATCCAATCTGTCCCCTGTCCAGCTCCCAAACAATAAATATAATAATACTTTTTCAATAATTCCACTCTGGTCAAATATTTTCTTTTTTAAAACACATATCTTGGTTTCTAAGTTGTGCCTTTATTGATGCATAAGAGACACTATCCTGGCAAAAATATCCATTCAGATCCCTTTCTCTAAAAGACATCCCAAAACTATTCTTAAGGATCTCCCAACTAACAGAAGCATATTTGGGAGGATCATAGAGGTATTTTCAGTAGGAATAATCAACATTTCATTCTATTTATAGGAACTGTGTCTTATTTATGGAAAGAGAGCTGGAGCCAAGCCATTATGCTTTCCACTGGCAAATATTATGATGCTGCTGCGATTTACATTCCGATGGCCTTTCTGAATTCAGAATTTTGTGGTTCTAATATATCATAAAAAACTCTACTTTTATCAAAGCTGTCTCTGATGAACAGAAGGTCTTCTACAGAATAATCATCATGTTTTCCTGTCCAAATGGTCAGAGTGTATCTGCAACAAGAATTAACAAAACCGATTTTTAAAAAAGGCTACACACAAGCAATTAAAGGAAGCTAAACAAATAGAATATTGACATTTAAGATTGTTATAGATAATTTGTATGTTCACATGATTAAAAACAACTTGTCAAATGATATGGTGTTGATATACAGGAGAAGAGCAAGCATAATCTACTTGAAAAACTTCACAATTTACAATTTCCCCAATGATGTACTATTTTTTTAAAAGTGTAACCATAAAGCATGGTGGAAGTGAGGGGCTCTAACCTCAACCTCCCAACACTGAGCCAGAAGGCTTAAAAGAGGATTCTAAACATTAGGGAAAGCACATGCTCGAAGCAGAGGGGGTCACCCCAAAATGGCAAGATGAGCCAGCTGCACTTAGTCCATGGTAAGAACTGGGACCTCCCTCTGAATAAACACAGAACTGTACTGTAAAACATTATATAAATAAGCTATATAGATAACTCTCTTTCGTTAAACAAACAAACAAATCATGCAGAATGTGGGGGAAGGAATGCTCAGAGCACACAATGGGCACAAAACCCTTTTACAATGCAAAATAGAAACTACTCGACACCTGCCCTTGCACCAGGGACTCTACATGGATGTAATCATCATATTAACTTATCACTTCATTTTGTACACTAGGGCAGGGGTCCCCAACCCTCAATCCACAGCCTTCACGGGACTGGGCCGTGGAGACAGATCTCCTGCCCCCCCCCGCACGCACTCCCCCCATGTATGTGCACCCCATCCATCCACGTGAGCGCACCCTGCCCAGCTACTTTGAAAGAAAATGAATATAGTAAGTTAAAAGTTATTTACAAAATATTTTTGATAGCATCTGTACAGTTTGCATGGTCATGAAAATAGCTTTTAGTACCTGGAAGACTACTGTGCATACGTAACACAACCAAATAGTATTCAAAATACCTGTTGGACTGTTGTAGCAACCACTGCAGTTCAGAAACTGACTGGCGTACCAAAGCAGCTCTTACAGGAAATGTCACTGGCTGAGTGAGATGTTTACATATTGCTTCCATCTCCTGTACTATTTCTGAACTATAGCCTGTAAAAGAAGAAACAATACAGAATTCAATAAATTAATCCTCAAATCTGTGGATCTCTTGATGTGTACGTTACAATAACAAAACACCAGAAAGAATGCTGATGTTGATATTAAACTGATAGTACAATATACTAATTATATTGATAATAATATTTAGTTATACTAAGCGCCCATCCACACTGAATATTTATTCGACCCTCCTTGCACCAATGATACCAGTATCGCATTTCAGTGTCCACTTGATGCTAGGCTGAAACTATGTCAACAGAGTCAAAGAAGGACAAAAACACTAACTTTCCACCTGGCATATTTTTGTTTTATTTTGCTCCAATCTGCTCCAGTGCACAGTCATCATAGGTGGAGCCCATAACTGAGCAGACAGTGCTAATCTTTGCACTTTATGGACGGGTGTCACCTGATGAAGTTAGAGGCATGTTTCTGCTCATCGTTCTCCACACATCAACACCTTCCAGCTGCTCCTGAGTTCTGCTTTTGAATTTTAAAAAATGTTGTAATTTCTTCAAACGTGAAAAATAAAAATAAATAAATAAATAAAGTTAAAAAGGGCTGCAGGGGAAAATGTGAAGGTTTGACAATGGTGGGCTAGTAAAACAGGGAGAGTGGAGGACAGAGGAAAGTGTGGGGGCAGAGAGCAAACAAGATTATCAGCAGTTCTTGCATTCTGCTTAATTTTTTCATATTATCACTTTTACATGATAGCACAAAAGTGAAAACTAAAACTAAAAAAGTTAGAAATATTTGCAGCAAAAATATGAAGATTTGGGATTAGTCTGTGAGTGAAACGGGGTTGGAATGGAAGAGAGAGGAGAGAGAAGACACCAGTTGTTCCTGTGTTCTTTTTTTCTCTCTCATAATCTTTGCACCATTATGCAAAATGTAAATTACAAATAAAATAAAATAAAAATTAGAAGCATTGAAGGAAAAAAGTGAAGGTGTGAGGACACTGGGCGGATAGAAAAAGGAAGTAAGGAAGAAGAAGTTAAATAGGTGGGTAGAGACCAGAGAAGGTAAATAAAAGGGAAAATAATCTGTGATGGGAGTGAAACTTTAAGCACAAGTTCCAAATGTGTTGGCAAGTGGTACTGTACCAGCATACCCTAGGGTATCCCACTACATACCACAACAAATGTGTTCTGCTGTACAAATGTCAATACTGGGATTATTTATTTAAATCTACAACAGACTGACCAGAAAGACCCAGAGGAACCCTAGAATGACCATAGTGTGGATAAGCCTGAAGATTGTTCAGATTTTTTTTCCACAATCAGCAGCCATATGAAGATACAACAAGCAGTGAAAGGAATCAAATGCTGCCACGCACTTCTGTGGCTTTTGCCAAACCCAGCCTTCTATTTCTGTGGGTTTCAGAATGCATTCAAAACATTTCTCTAGAGTCAGCCTATCTGGAAAAACTATTTAAAAATAGCTTTCTCAATCTGTGTATGTGCAGGTCTGAGGAAAAATTAGAGAAACCTAAGTTTGCAACCTTGAAATATGCTTTTCAAAATAAATATTAACAGGTGACAACCACTTTAATGTATGGATTAAAAAGAGGCGACAATGAGATATTCTGCATCTGTGCAGTAAGTAATTAATAGTATAAACTTCTCATTTGCTTCAGGCATATGTCTGGGCTACAGAAAAGAGTGTATGATTCAGGCTGAACAGGAAAGTGATGGGCTATTGACCTTAACAAATGCCTGACACATATCAAACGTCCATCTCTTGAGCTACCCTATCTCTCACAACTATTTCCCTGACTCTTGTTATAAGATCTTTCACTGTAAGGAAACAGATTCATTACATTTTTTTTTCTTTTTGTGCACACAGAGCAGCAGAGTCCTTCATTTTAATTAGTCATGAAGCCACAGTGGGAGAAGCATCAGAGTGCCAATACTTGAAAAGCACATATGAACAGGACAGATCAAGTACAGGGAACAGATTAGCTTTTGAAAGGAAATGAGGTGAATGTGTAACCATCTGACATGGGTTTCCTGGAACACATAGTATTAAGAAGATGAATTGCATAATACTGCATCTGATAGAACAGTAATGAGTGAAGATGAGTAAAATATTTTCTGAGATTAGATTCAAATATTCATCAATAAGTCTTACCTTTATTGCATTTTAAACTAATCCATCCAGTTGTCCATCCCAACGATAAGGTTGCATCTGGAAAAAATGATGTCACTGTGTCTAGAAACCCCTTTGGCTCTACTACATAGTCACTTCCATTTGGTCCAGGAAGAATATCTGCATTAATCCAAACAGGTTGCCTGAGTTTTATATTTCCAAGAAGTCCCACTGATGCTTGCACAGCTGCCAGGCTATAAGCATAGGACGACACAGTTTAAATACAGACATATGGAGGGGAATGCAATACATTTTATATTATCCATCCAAACATTAGGTGTAGAGAATCCATTTATTCTCAGATGCTCTTGAACTATACCACCTGTCTCCTCTCATTATAAGCCATGTTGGCTCTAGTGATAGTGATTCAATTCCAACATCATCAGAGAGGGTCAACACTTCCCATGATAGAAAATATATAGAATATATAGACTAGACTATATGGTTAGAACCAGCTTATGTAATGCAAATTTAAAGGCAGATTCTAAAGACTCTCAAATAGCTGAACTTTTGATTCATCCAAATTAACACTAACACACAGAATGTAAAATAAACTATATGGAAATATCATGTATCTGATTAAAAGAATAATAGAATTATACATTATGGTTCATACTCTTGTGAGGCCAGAGACCTGGGACAAGAGGTCCTCTTGGGAGTGCCGTCTCTCCCCAAGGGGTCTAGAGGGATGCAGACCACCCCATCACCAACCCCACCTAAAGTAGTACACCAGGGTTTAGATACCCGGGAGCTGGAGGACAGTCTAAGGAGATCGAGACTGGTACATCAAGGCGTAGATACCCGGGATTTGGAAGTAGACATGCAGGGGTTAAATGTGGCAACTCAAGCAGAACCCATTTTGGCGGGAAAGGAGGGGAGTGGACGGTTGATGGTGGAGGCGGGAGCAGGGGATATAAATGTAGACCGGGACAACATACCGGGGGGGGTTGGAAATTCATATGGCTTGAAGACCCGTGGACGGGACAGTGGGACCAGGTAAAGGTTCCCAAACAGGAGGCTGATTACAGATGCCGCAAGGGATTGCCCCAGCGCCCATCCTACTGGGGGGAATCCGAAGCCCATGAGCGGAGGTGACGTCTGAAGGAGGAAAAGGAGGCGGTGGCGAGGGAGGCCAAGAAGCGCCGGGCATGGCATTTGGAAGAGCTCCGGAAGATGGGGTGCTACCTGGACCGTGGGATACCCATGAAGGAGAGGGATCCCCACTATGGGGATGGTCGGGGGATGAAGAACCCCTCCCATTACTGATACCTGAGGGAACTGAGGCAGAAGCCCAAGAGTCTGAACAGATTTTGGTGGGACCTTGGGAGTTTAAGTCGTTAAATCTCTTGCAAGACCCGTTAATCTCGCAAGAGAGGGTCTCTACAAAGCCTATTGATGATGTTTTATGGTTTCCTGAATAAATAAATAGAAACATGTTTGATTCAAAAATGGCTCATGATTTATTTCAAGATATAGAGGTCCAAACATCTGAACCCTCACAACTCTCTTTTTGTATTCAGTACAGCTACGTCTTTTGTGTTCTACAGCAGGAGTCCCCAAACCCCGGTCTGCAGCCTGGTGTCAGATCTCCCACTCCCCTGCACAGCCCCTTTGTGCATGCACACAAGTGTGTACGTGTGTGGCCCCCTGAGTGCTCACTGGAAGGACAGATCCTGAAGCTGAGGCTCCAGTACTTTGGCCATCTCATGAGAAGAGAAGACTCCTTGGAAAAGACCTTGATGTTAGGAAAGTGTGACGGCAAGCGGAGAAGGGGACGACAAGAGGACGAGATGGCTGGACAATGTCTGAGAAGCAACCAACATGAATTTGACACAACTACGGGAGGCAGTGGAAGATAGGAGGGCCTGGCGTGCTCTGGTCCATGGGGTCACGAAGAGTCGGACACGACTAAACGACGAAGAGTTAATTGCTGCATTTCATTTATTTGGACAGTATTAATTTCCTTCCTTATTAGGATAAAGTATTTGCAGTGGCCAGAATCCTACTGCATGTTTAACACCAGCAAAACTCATCTGACTGGGGTGTGATAGGAAATGCCAGCTTCTTAATTTGTCACAATTCATTCCTGAAAGTTATACCAATAGAGCTATGCCACAGGGCGTAAGTAGCAGCATCTCAGTAAGTGTTGCTAAAATACAACTAAAGACTATATAACAGAACTGCACCTGGAATACAATTATAAGCATAACCCAGAAATAAGGCCCAAGAAATTTAATAGAACGTATTTCTATGTTTGTAATTCCAACTTTAGTCTTAGATATTAATAGTCTATTTCCAGTTTTCCCAGGTACCTTTTAAAGTCAAGTTTGATGCCTTTGTTAGTGTTTTTAATTTCATTTAGCCACTCCTTCAAAGTGTTATCACTTCTTGTTTCTGGTGGATGAGCCATGATTGGTTCACCGCTCCCTCCTCCTTCACAAAGAAGGACATCTGCTTCTATCATGTGAGCAGCACCTGTTTACAAAAACAAGAAAAACAATCTTAGGACACCCTAAAGGCAATCTGATACTCTTTTCTATCATCAAGGTATTTTAAGAACTAATTTAATCCAGTGGAGAGAGATCATTCAACTACTTATTTTTCAAAATATTTTCCCCCTTTACTGAACAGGACTGCTTTATTACTTTGAGAAATGCTTCAGCTCTCTGTAGATTTCATACACAAGTCAACTCACTGCCTGAGCAACATTGCTTGTTCAAATGGAAATGGAGCTACATAGCTTAAATGTGAACTGCAATTTGTTAGAGGTTTTTTTTTTTGCTTTAAAAAGCAACAAACTGTTGAGAATTTGCCAGTTTCTTGCATTTTAATGCTAATTCTATTCCTCCCTTTGCTCAACGCTTTGCATAAATTACTTGATTCATTTCTTATCTGTTTGTGTTTTAAAACCACACAAGGGAAATGTTTGTGATGAGGAGTGCCTGCCCTACACTAAAAGGATGCCCCAGTATCCTCTTACACTGAATGCAATTTCTTTCTGATTTCAAATGATTCTTCTTTCCCTCCAGTAGCCCTGCTCCCTGACTTACACTTATTTGGAGGCCCTCACCCTCTGGAGAGACTGGTAGGGGGTGAGGGCAACTCCAAAGGGAAAGGAGAAGAGACAGCACTTTGTTCCCATGAACTTTTTTCATTTAACTTATCTCGAGCCATTCTTTCACAGTCTTTGTTTGTAATTAGAATGCATGAATTAAAGGGTCTTCAGACTTTTTAGTGTGAGGGCCACATCATATATGTTCGACATTTTTGAGGGTGAAGGAAGACACACACATACGCACTCCCACCCACCTGCCCGCACTCCCACACGCACGCACACTTCAGACTTTTCAGTGTGAGGGCCACATCATATATGTTCAACATTTTTGAGGGCTGTAATTAGAACACACATACGCACTCCCACCCACCTGCCCGCACTCCCACACGCACGCACACCAGACCAGATAAAAAGGTGGGCCAGATGTGGCCCGTGGGCCGCAGTTTGGAGACGCCTGAATTAGAGCATTAAAACAGCTGTCACTTTAAAACAGAAGACTGGGTTAATGGATGGATACATCAATTGTACAGAATTTGATTTGAAGACAAGGAACATGCTGGCTATATACTGGAATAACTACAACAATAACTACAATGTGTAGCCTGTATAATTAAATTGTAAACCGCCCGGAGAGTGCTTGTAGCGCTATGGGGCGGTATATAAGTCCAATAAATAAATAAATAAATAAATAAACATATGCATTCTGGAGATTCAAATAGCTTTCTCCCATCTTCAGGCTCTTTACTACATAGGCATAGATTAGGACATATTTATGCCTAATGCAGCATGGTTGGCTGTCGGGATCTGCAAGATGAGAGGAAGTAGGGATCTTGCAGATGAAGCCTCAGGGCAGGGATCTTTCTCCTTGACCAGCAAGGAGAAAGGAAAAGACGGGACACTCGAGTGTGGTTTTCAGGGTGGGATCCGGATGAATACAGAACAGCCTGCCGTGAGGCACCTGTTCAGTGTCAGTTCTTCTTCTCGATCCGGCCTCCCCTCAGTTTATTGTATCCCCTACCTTTGAACAAGTTAATCAATACAGAGGTAACTAATTTCTTTGAATACACAGCAGAATAACCAGAGTGCTAGTAAACAGAGACAGCTAATTTCCTTGAATACAAAGGCATCAGTAAACAGAGTGATTAGCAAACAGACAGGCTGGTAAACAGTTAATAGTAAACAGACACAGATAATGGTCAACAGATAATTTCCTGAGTACATAGACAAGTTAGACAAGTTCTTGAATACACAACAGTGTAGAGACTGTAACTACATTATCCAGAGACAACAGACAGCAGGTTAATGATCATCCTTACTGGAAACTAGTGACTTGCAGTTTTAGCATGAGGCCTGCCATTGTCATAGATATACATTTGCTACTGCCACAGACATATACATTGTAACAGCATAACAGCATAAATTTTCCCCACAGTTGGCTCTGAACATTTGGCTTCCTGAGTCAGAGACACTAGGTCCGCCACTCTCTCTATTCTTGAACTCTCTCCATAGAGGTACAATGTGCCTTTCATGTAACTGAAAGCATATCGTACAATGATAATTTTCAGTTTTAGCTCCAAGTATAAGGACAATAAATGCATTTTTGTTGTGGCATGGCTACTGGAAAAATGAGCATCTTTATTATTAAATTACTGGATTCCCAGTGTGGTGTAGTAGATAAAGTGAAGGCCTAGGACTCCAGAGAACTAGTTTAAATCCCTGTTCAGCCACAGAAACTCACTTGGGTAGTGGAACTAGTAAAACCACTCCTTAAATATCTAATTTACCTTGAAAACCCTATTAGGGTCATTATATATCCGTTCCAACTAGATGGCACAGAACACACAAACACACACACTATTACATTACTGCAATTCCAAAATTTCTCCCTCAACTCACTAAAAGCAACCATACTGTAATGCAATTGGCCTCAGAACCGTTGTGCACATGCTTCTATTATATCATGAAATTAAAATTAAAACATCATAATGTGCAGATATATAATCCAGGAGATACTTACTCTTTATTGCTTCTGCCATTTGTATCTTACTATTTGCTCTATGATACCAGATGATTTCAGCTCCATCTCTTGTTTTAATTTGCTTAGCATTCAAAAAATAATCCAGTATATTTTCACCCCAAGACCCTGTAGGTTAAGAAGACTTTAATTGTTATAAAGGAAACCTGACAATAGCTTACTAAACCAACTTTACACATGTTGTTACTTCTGTCACTAGAGAACACAAATATACTGAAATAGAAACAACTCTTCTAACATCAGAATAGGAATTTAAAAGACCAGTATTAACAACATGGCAATGCTATGGAACCTCTACTTTAATAGTTCCTGTGGCACCAATTATAAACATTCTGATCAATTTGTTAAATCCATAAAGTGGCAATTCTGTGCTGAAACTGTATCATTTCCAACTTGACATAAGTGTTGACATACCTGGAAGAAAAAAAATCAGCAGCAGTCTATCAACAGAAATTTAGATGTCAAGAATGTCCCTAGCTCACCTTTTCCCCAGATATGCTAATCTTATATGTCAGAAGGTACCTATTTTCATAGACGGCCATTTCATCATATGATCCCTTGTCTCCAGAAAGAACTGTACAATCCAGATAACAGAGTTTTATTTCTGTAAAATTAGTTGGAATTTGTTACTTATAAATTGTTGTTGTAGTTTAGTAATTAAGTCGTGTCCGACTCTTTGTGACCCCATGGACCACAGCACGCCAGGCCCTCTTCCACTGCCTCCTGGAGTTTGGTCAAATTCATGTTGCTAGCTTCGATGACTCTGTTCATCTATCTCATCCTCTGTCGTCCCCTTCTCCTCTTGCCCTCACACTTTCCCAACATCAGGGTCTTTTCCAGGGAGTTATAAACAGAGATATGCAAATCTGTGCCTTAGGACTACAACTCTCAGAATTCCCCAGGCATGACAGCCAGGGGCCATGCTGTTTGGAGAATTCTGGGAACTGTCATCAAAAGCAAATCTTGTCATAAGTAACATGTTCCATTAAATGCAACAAATGTGCTTTAGTTCAAACTAACACTGGATCACACACAATTATCTAACTAATAGTTCCTTCATTTGTTAAAATTAATACTACCTACACTTCTTGCTTCCTGCAGAGCAGAAGGCTTTCTTTAGTTTTTTTTTTTCAAAAGAGAACCAAGTATTTGGAGGAGGTAATAGGAAACACATTTTTAGTCAAAAAGTTGAAGCTGTGCAAGCTGTTACCTTAATGTTTACAAAGGATTGGATTGTCTTTGCCAAAAGCTGCACTTTTGTGGCATGAATATAGTTTTTTCCAGGACATAAACTATGATAACTTGTTATAGGTAAATGTGATTTTCTTCCTTGGCAGGCCATCTAGTACAATTATGAACATTGTATTAAACATAGTTGTGCAAGTGCCAAAGCTACCTACTGAACAGTATAGGTAATAGTATCTATGACAAGTGACCTACCTTAATATCTTCATACAAAATTTATATTTTCTGGTAGGTGTTGCACTTCGCAAACTTGGTTTTATTGTGTAAGTATCTTATTGTTGTGAAGCACTTTAATTTTCATTTTTTGGGTGGAAAGAGAACATGATAAAAGCTTTTAAAATATATGTGCCATTTTGCTGTGGATTATTAAAGTAGTATTTGTTTGTTTGTTTGTTTGTCTGATTGATTGATTTCCAGGTGATCTTTCTCCTGGTGGACTCAAGATGGCTCACACTGATGAAAACAAGTTATGTCCCACATTCAATCCCTTATATTTCCTGGATCTAAAAAATCCCAAGGACTGGTCTTTTGTTGCCCTTTGTCTGGAAAGCTAATGCCAAACAGCACTGTGCTAAATAGGCAAACAATATAAATGGCACTTCTGTGTTCCAGGTCATTTGTCTGAACCATGTCTCACATTTAAAACACAAATTTGAAATCCAAATGCCAAATCACAGGCATAAAAAGGAGCAATTTCAAGCTTGCAGTGCACCACAGGTGTAGGCCACACTGTTCAACTACAGCTCTGACTTAAGTGTGGGAAAAGGTTTAACTCAAACGACTGTACTGAGATTTTGTGGTGTTTACAATGTATTATAAACCTCTTATTGAAAAGGGAGGTGTCCTAAAGCAAAAACAGCTTTTACTTTTGGGGAGGCTGTCAAACAGGATATTTAGGTGCTGTACATGAAGTTTGCCTCTACATGCATACAAATACTGTACCTCATTCTAGAGAAAACAACAACAATAACAACAACACATTTCAATAATTGTTATGACTAACAATTTAAAGTGTGATCTTCCATAGATATAAACTACTTCTTCAGACACAAGGAACACAATTTTTCTCAGAATCTTCTTCCTGAGCAGGGGAAAAAAACCCTTTTCTCTAGACATATGTGACAAATGTCAGTGATCAACCACACATCATGTAACAGCCCTTTTATCAAACTAAGCAAATGATTTAAGAGGCAGGGTGCATTTATTTCTGAATACAATCTATTTCTTTGTGTCAGTGGTATGTTTCAAGATTTTGGTGGCAGGTTTTGGTTACAAAAATCCTATACTGTACACTGTTCTCCTGTTCCAAAAGGAAAATGGCCCTTTCAGTCTATCTGCAGTCTTCACCCCATAGTGTTTCTATGTATATAAACCTGTGCCTAAACGTTTCCTTCCATGTATCCAAGGAAGCAGTTTGCAATTCACAAAAGCAGTCTTGAAGATGCCATGATACTTTTGTTTTTATTTTTGTTTCATTTTGATTAGATTTTTGTCATTATCTGCTACTCAGCTCAGCTGTCATTTATGGAGGATAGCTCTATGCACACACCATTCTCGCAGAAATGCCTGAGGCAAGGGCCCAGGCAGAGTGGGAAGAGGACACAATATGCAGGTAAAGAGAAGGCAGAAATGCCTGAGGCAAGGGCCCAGGCAAAGAGAACAAATAATCATTTTTAACAAGCGCGCTGTGATTGGCCGGCTGCCTTCCCTCAGAAACATATTGACATCCCAACAAAAACACTGGCTAGCTTTTATATGTGGAAAGGGGAATCGGCCACTGGTTGCTTCTTCCAGTTGCCTTTGGTACTCCGCTCTTTCCTTTTCGCCCCTGACACGATGCAAAGCTCGGCAGTTCACACAACTCTTCCCTTCCGCCTTGCAAAACGTGGGCCAGGCGTTTTTTGCTTTTGTTTCCTTGTCGTGTCGAAGAAAACCCCCCATGTTACTCGTGCGCTCGCGTTTGCGGGAGAGGCAAGGACGTGACCGTAAACCTGAATCGTTCTTTCGAGGAACCGAAACGGTCCCATTCGTCGGTCCAAATTAAAAGTTATTCCGTCGTTACTTTGGTATTTGTGGACGCTCTCCCCGACTAACGAGCTAAATGAAAACGGGCAGAAGGAATTCACCGCCTGGTTCACGTTTCCATTAAAAACCGGCCTATAGGCACAGCGTCCGTCCCCTTTGCGAAGAACCGAGCGAGAGGGAGGCAGACGAACTCCCCCCCTCCCCCGGGCCCAGCGCATCCGATCTGCTCCACCTGCGTCCGGGCACCCGAGGCGGAGAACGACGTTTCCTGGCGCCAATCAAGAGACCCTCTCTCGCGCCCGCGCGCGCCCTCCCTATCCGCGCGCTTTTTTTGTTTGTTGTTTTACCCGTCGGGCCCCCTTCCATGTCCCGGCCGGATGAGCAAGGAGCGCCTGCCGCCAGCTCGTCCGGGCCTTCCGAGCGCTCCCAGAGGCCGCCTCGGTGCCATCCACGCGTTCTAAACATGAACGCAGCAGCCGGTATCCTTCCGCCTAGTGGAGAGGATGGGAAGGAGTTCCTTGAACTCTCCGGGGCTTCCCGGAGCGTGAACCTGCCCCTGCAAAATTGGGCCACGGCGGTTTTTTTGGGAAAACTTCTGACACACACACGCACACCGTGCCCGCCTCAAAGGTCCCAAGGCTCTCTTAGTATCTTTTCAATTGTTGGGGGCCACAGAAGGAGAGGAGCCTTTAATTTCTGAAAAATCATCCCGGTCGATTTCAGCCCTAGTGTTTACTGGTTTCTAGAATGGAAGTTGTCAGAAATTAAGAAAATGTCAGGCTGTGTAAGGACTTGCACTGAAGAACCTGGCTAGATAACCTATGGGCCACTCCATTCGTGGAAAAACATAAATCACACATAAATCGAGAGAAACAAGAGGTATTAAAAAAATTAACAAATTCACTTTAGTATGGTATCCCTTCATATTCGTTACATGAACAAGACCTGCTCAACTCAGTGATTCCATCCCACTTCTACAATTCTAGGACTCTATAATTCATTTGATAGCTCACTGGAGAGACTTGTCAAATTTCAGAGGGAACTATTTTGATATTGTCACAAGAACTATTAAGACATAATCTGGAAGACATGAGAATTAACAAAGAAAAAGACAACCTCATGTGAATCTTTAATATAGGAATATTGATTGTCTTGTCTTTACAGCTTATACCAGATTACAGAAATCATTACGAATACAGTGATCAGTATGCCATGCCATTCATTTTATAGTTCAATGTGAACTTTTCTTGTTTATTTCAAATATTTTTACCTTGCCTTTCTCCTAAAAAAAGGAAGCTCACACCATTAAAACACAATAGTAAAAACTAATAACAGTAAATTCAAATATTAAAGAATTACTGTAAAACATTCAAATTAAAAATGTTAAAACATTATGAAAAACAAATTTAGAAGCAACAAAATATATGCCACCCCATTTATTGCATCCCAGACAGTCAGTCACTAAACAAAAGCCTGCCTGTAGAAAAAGGTCTTTGTCTGTTCGCCGAAGGACAGAAAAGATGGGGCCAGCCTGATCTCCCGTGTGAGAGAGGTCCAGTCTGGGAGCAGCAACAGAGAAGGCCCTCTCCCATATCCACACCAAGCACATCTACGAGGGTGGTGGACTGAGAGAAAGGCCTCTACTGATTATCATAAGACCTGGGCAAGCTCATAGAGGGAGATACAGTTCTTGAAATTGAATCATGGAATACTGTACAATAACTGAGTTGGAAGGAGCCGAGTCCAACCTCCTGCTCAATGCAGGAATTGAAATCAAAGCAGATCTGACAGATGTTTGTACAACTTTCTCTTGAACACCTCTAGTGCTGGAGCACTCACTACCTCCCAAGTTAAGTGGTTCCATTGTTGTACTACTCTAACAGTTAAGACATTTTTCCTGATACTCAGCCTAAATCTGTAGCTTGCACCCATTATTATGTGTCCTGCATTCTGGGATGACTGAGAACATATCTTGTCCCTCCTCCGTATGACTACCTTTCAAGAATTTGAAAAACGCAGTTGTATCTCCCTTCAGTCTTCTTTTTTCAAGGATAAAGGTGCCAAGTTCTTTCAGTCTTTCCTCTCATGGCTTGTTTTCCAGTCCTCTGATCTCCTTTTTGCCCTCCTTTGAGGTTGCTCCAGTTTGTTGGCATCCTTCTTAAAGTGCACTCTCCAGAACTTGACACAGTTGAGGCCTAACTAGTGTCAAATAGAAGAGGACTAGTACCTCACAGGATTTGGAGACTATACTTCTGTTAAAAAGGTTCCCTTGACAGTTTATCCAGTCGTGTCTGACTTTAGGCAGTGGTGCTCATCTCTGTTTCCAACCCATAGAGCTAGCGTTTTGTCCGCAGGCAATTTGCACTGTTGTTTTTTCCCTCCTAGGTGTAGAATTTGCACTTATCCCTGTGAAACTTCATTCTGCTGTTTTCAGCCCAGTACCCAAGTCTATCTTGTGAAATTTGTTCCTGTCTTCCAAGGTACTGGCTATTCCACCCAATTTTGTGTCATTTGCAAATTAATAAGCATTCCCTGCACTCCCTCATCCAAGTCATTAATAAAATATAGGTGTACCCTGTTTTCCCGAAAATAAGACGGGGTCTTATATTAATTTTTGCTCCAAAAAACGCATTAGGGATTATTTTCAGGGGATGTTTTATTTTTGTCATGTACAATCATCTACATTTATTAAAATGCATTCATGTCCTCTTCTGATTGCTGCACAATGATGGGGGGCGGGGTTTCACTTAACTGGGGCTTATTTTTGGAGTAGGACTTATATTACGAGCATCCTGTAAAATCATACCAAGGCTTATTTTCAGGTTAGGTCTTATTTTAGGGGAAACAGGGTACCATGTCCAGGACTGGGCCTTCTGGTACCCCACTTTTTATCTTCTCCATTTAAGGAGGAGCCATTGATAAGCACTCTTGAGTACAATTCTATAACCAACTGTGTATCCTGACAGTTGCTCTCTCCAGCCCACAACTAGTTAGTTTGCTAGTCATAATATAATGGGATGTTTTGTCAAAGGCTTGCTGAAGTCAAGATATATTATGTCTATAGTATTCCCACTATCTATTAAGGAGGTTACCGAATTAAAAAATGAGATAAAATTATTCTAGCAGGATTTGTTCTTGACAAATCCATGTTGGCTTCTAGTTATTATTACATTGTTTTCAAGGTGCCTGCAGAGCATCTGCTTTATCATCTGCTCCAGAATTTTCCCTGGGATTGATATGATCCCATATCAATTGATATGATATGATTGATATGATCTGTTCAAAATGACTGCCTAGAGTGGTCATTTTGAACAGATAGGCGGGGTATAAATAAAATAAATAATAAATAAATAATAATAATGAGGCTGACTAATCGGTAGTACTGTAGTTCCCTGGTTCCTCCTTTTGTAAATAGGGGCGTTAGCATCTGGTATTTCACCCGTCCTCCATGATTTCAAGAAAGTAACAAGATAATGGTTCTGTGATCTCTTCAGCCACTTCCTTCAATATTCTTAGATGCAGTGTATCTGTCCCCAGGGATTTGAACTAATTTAAATTAGAAAGGTACTCCTTGACTATTTATCAATCTCAAGCTGCAATTCTATCCCTTCCCTTTGCAATTCACATTTCCCTGGAAGAACATGAATTGCCTTTTGGGAGAAGACCAATCTGAAGTAGGAATTGAGCACGTCTGCCTTTTCTTTGTCATTGTTATCATTTTCCCATCACTTCTGAATAACTGGGCTAGTTTATTTTCTGTCTTTTGCTACATACATACCTTACCTAAATAATACTTTTTGTTGCTTTTAGCGTCTTGCTAACCTAAGCTCACTCTCAGCTTTTGCCTTCCTAATGCCATCCCTGCAATTCTTTGCTAAGTCTGTAGTCTTCCTTTGTAGATTGGCCTTCCTTCCACTTTCTATATGTGTCCTTTGCTTGGACCCATAGCTTAAGTCCAAGTTGTTTAGGTTAAAACCAGCACTCTGAATTGTGCCCAGAAATGGATTGTCAACCAATGGTGCTGCTCTAACATGGATGTCTCAAATCTCAGTCCTGCACTTGATTCAGTACAGCAAACTGATTCTTTGTGGAAATCAACACCATGAAATTAATAACAGCGCTAAATACAACACAAAGTATACATCTGTTATATAATTTAAATTTAACCTCATATCCTACTAATTGGAGCTTTCACTGCAACAAGAGGTGTATGGATGGATGATGTAGTAGAAAGATATGTAGCAATTTAACTTACAGTACGTATTACAACATAAAGCAATGAAAGTTAAAATGAGCTGTGGCTGAGACTGTGCGAAAAAAGCTTAAAGAACTAGGATATAGTAACTGCCAATGCATTTAATATATATAAAACATAAATATGGCTTGAACATGATTGCAGATTGTGCATATGCAAGGATGTGGGCAGTGCCTGTAACACTGGATTTTTCTATTCAACCCATGAAGTAGCACAACATGCATCAAAAAGCAGCTTGCCATGTAGAATGAAAGGACTTATCTTTGCATAACACAAGCACGAAGGTCCTTTTAAAGCATACACTACTACTGTGAAACTGCTCAGATCCCATTAACTTTGCTTTCCAGAAGACCAACAATTAAATTATGTGTAGGTGGTTTATAAGTTGTATACTAAATGCATCCTGTACAACACTGTAAGACCACCCACAGTTTGAGTTGCTAAAATGTACCACTGCTGTGAATTAGCTTGATATGTTCTCTTTAAAAGAGGAGAAAGCTTAATGATTACTTGATAAATAAATGTTATTGTCTTATTGTTTCAGCAAACAAATTTGATTTCCATAGTTTTTAATTTTATTTATAAGTGTATAAATATGGGAATATTTATAACATTGTTAAAAAATAAGAGTCTAATGCAGTTACAAACTGAAAGCAAAAATCAATTTCCAAGAGAAACATAAAGCTATAATTACAGAGTGGGTTATAGTTGCTTCTACACAATAGTTACGTATCATGGATCAATATTTGAAACATTCAGCATTCTGTGTCACGGTTCCCCCTTCACTCATATCTTCCAGATAGTGTTTTAGATGAATGTTACTTTGATCTTTAGCTGATTCACAGAACTGTATTTCTTCATAAAAATGGAGTGTGTTACTTCATCTGGCAGCAGTTTCTTGGAGTTAGCTGCAATCCTGTGCCATTACAATATAGATCAGCAGATGTTTTCATTATAAGCTGTAGTTTTTATAAACTGTAAATACACCCAGTGAAGTCAAAGACATCCAGGTACAATTAGGATGTAGAAAATTCGCAGAGTTATATTACAACATTTCAATCAAACATAAATATAAGAACAAACAAACATACACACAGTTTGTTTCTGTGCATAACAAGGAACATAAGGAACATCACACAGCAGGCATTATCATACCTGATTTAGTTTACTAAGATACTAATTTCATTCACCATTCTCACAGATAAATGTTTATTTACTGAAAATATCCCATTATAAAAATAAGTACTGTATAAAGAGTTCAAGTATGTTATAGCGAACTGTTCATGAAAATTCACACTTAATACACTGTTCTCCCTGAAAACAAACAGGGATACCAAGAAGTCTCAAAATCAGAGAAGGAAGCACAGACAGGCTTCATGCCTGATTTACTGCTACAGGATGACTACTTTAAGGGTCATCTGGCTTCTTACTCAATCTTGGAAAATCCAAGAGACAACTGAGCACAGAAGGAAAAAAAAAGATTAGGTATTTAATATAAAGACCATTAAATTTTATGTTCAATAAATTCATTATAAATGTATAACAAAGTCAGCAATTCAAAACATGATTCAGTGGGAACTCTCAGGTTTTGGAAGCATCATTTTACACTTCAAACATACCAATTTTAAAAATCAGTGTCTTACAAAATGATCACACTTGGCAGAATCTTGCTATTTTTGTCACATGGGTAATATCAGTTTGTGCAAACACATTTCAGATATTTTAAGTATGTCAGTACTCTAGTAAAGCTTGTACAGTACACTTGAACCTCAACTATTCAACTAGAAACTGTTTGGCTCTATTTAAATATGCTTAGCTTTTTAAAAAATTGTTAAGCTTGTATCAAATGCAAACAACATTTAAAATATTTATTTCCAAAACAAAGTTGGCTAACTTCAGGATTTAATCCATATATTATAGTTTTAGTCCTTCCTTGCCTTTTAGTGGCTGTATTAAGTGTAAAGTTTCAGAACATCAGGGAATCTAGATATTTAAATTGAGCATTCATATTGAGGTTGAGGAAGAACACAGTCATTTTTTTCAAAAGGCAGAATCCTCTTGAAAGATGTATTACTAAAACACTGGCTTTTAAAAAAAATGAACCTGAATATTTCATCCATACAGTAATGTAACAGCTTTGGTACTGATCACTGCTAGCAATTCAGTCTTCTACAGTATAAAATACATGCTAATTACACTACAAGAGATTCAGTAATGAAAAATATTAATTCAATTTTCAAGGGGAGATCTGTAGCATTTGATGGGCCTCCATGAATAACAGGAATCAAAGCACTGTCCAAATCATTTAGGTAACGCTGAGGAAGAAGCTGGCCTTCAGACCCAGCCTGATACTCCACCTAAAATAAAAGAGAAAAGCCCAATGTGTTAAAACATACTATACCGACATTCAGCAAGACAGTATTTACTTGGAGGTATATTTCCAGTGGTTGTTTGTTTGTTGTTGTGGTTGCTCCTTGTGATGAAACAGTAGCTAGCTATTGGAATGATCATTTAGCACTTTTTAAAAAAGTTGACATATATCAAATTATTGAAAGAAATTCCACCGCAAAAAACCCCCACCTTTGCGGGTAACGGGTCACTCACACAACAGGTGTAGCTGTGACTGAAGTTTGTGCTATGAATGGGTTGGGGGTGGGGTGGGAACAAGCTGCAAGAGATTCAAAACAACCAGTGGATGGAGCCAGGCTGTGTCTCTCCCCACTGATTCATTCCAAGAGCAGCTACTTTCTCTGGTAGGTGGGATTTTGTTGACATGGCTGTCCTTTGTGATGGAACAGTAGAGAGTTAGAAAGTGGATGCAAGCTCCAGTAATAAATACTGGATTAACAGGAAGTCATTTCATTTGACGATGATTTGTCTACTTTGCAGTATGTTTTAAGTGAAAAATAGTTTCATACTGCAAAAATCACTGGGCAGTGCAAGAGACAGAGACCAATATTCTCCTGGGATTTCACAAGTAATGTTCTGCAACTAGCTCCATAGCCAGGCACAACAAAAGACACTGTATCACATAGAGCAACTACAGTGGATATGAAAAGTTTACACACCCCTGTTAAAATGTGAAGCGTCTGTGATGTAAAAAATGAGACAAAGATAAATCATTTCAGAACTTTTTCCACCTTTATATGAATTGTACAACTCAGTTGAGCACCAAACTGAAATCTTTTAAGTGAAGGGAAGTAAAAATAAAAAACTGAAATAATATGGTTAAATCTGTGTGCACATCCTTAAACTAATACTTTGTCGAAGCCTTTTGATTTTATTACAGCACTCAGCCTTTTTGAGTATGAGTCTATCAGTATGACACATCTTGACTTGGCAATATTTGCCCACTCTTCTTCGCAAAAACACTCCAAATCAGTCAGATTGCAAGGGTGTCTCCTGTGCACAGCCCTCTTCAGATCACCCCATAGATAGTCAATAATATTCAGGTCTTGGCTCTGGCTGGGCCATTCCAAAAAGAGAGGTTACTTATCGTAACTCTGGTTCTTTGAGTAGTCATCTGTGAATTCACACTAATGAATTTTATCTGCGCCTGTACAGAGGTTTCCAGAATCTTTTAGAGCTTAACACTGTTCGATAGGACCGCCCCCCTAGTACAGGTGGTCCGCCCATCCTGCCAAGTGCCTCAGGTCCCACAAAGTCCGCCACTTTTGAAAAATTCTGACGTCACACACAGAGGGGAGAATGGGCGGGAAGTGTGAATTCACAGATGACCTCTTCTTCGTGGTCTCTGTGAATGCACACTAATGGGTGATTAGCAAGCTTACCTGTCCAGGGAAGTGACATCACGAAGAACAGCTGACAAAACCGCTCGTCCAAACATCGCGTCTGACTTTGCCCATAGATCCAAACGGTAATGCGAGGCAAGGGTGGACGGTGTGGACCATGTGGCAGCTCTGCAGATATCAGGGACAGAAACACCCCTGAGGAAAGCTGTAGAAGTGGCTACTGCCCTTTTAGAATGAGCCTTATTTCCAGCAGGAAGAGTTTTGTTTGCCAATTGATACGCAAGGCGTATAGTTGCCACTATCCATTTAGAGATAATTTGGGCAGAAACAAGAGATCCTCTATGCGGTGTGTAGAAACAAACAGTCTCTTGGATTTGCAGAAAGACACAGATCTTGAGATGTAAAAAGCCAGTGCTCTCCTAACATCCAGAAGGTGGAGAGAGCGTTCCAGATTAGAGGTAGGCGACGGAAAAAAAGGAGGCAAGATAATGGGTTGATGAAGGTGAAAATCAGAGACAACCTTAGGGAGGAAAGATACATCTGGGTAAAGGATGATTTTATCTGGGTGAAATTGAAGGAAGGGAGGATCAATGTGAAGAGCAGCGATCTCTGAAGCTCTGCTTCCTTGGCCACAAGGAAGAGGGTCTTAAGTATAAAAAGGCATTCAGAGGTTGTAGCCATAGGTTCAAATGGTGTTGGAGGACGGCATTCAAGGACCACTCCAGAGGGAGGTGAGGTCTAGTGGGTTGCATGTTGGAGATCCCCTAAGAAATTGCTTTACAGTGCGGTGGCAAAAGAGCACAGCAGCATCTGAGTCTTGTGGTTGGTGGGCTACTATGGCAGATAAGTAGACCTTGAGAGTAGAAAGAGATGAGTCAGAAATTGTAGGATGGCAGGAAGAATCATAGGCGTAGTAGGAAGATGACACTGAGTCGCAAACTTAAGAAAGGCGGACTACTTATAGGAATATAATTGAGTGGTCACAGGTTTTCTGGCACTTGCTAGGATAGAAGCTGTAAGTTGGAGAGTGTAAAGGTCGGGTGAAAGGTTCAACCTTGGTTCTGGGTGAGTAGATGAGGTATGAGAGGGAGATGGATTAAGTCTGTTGAGATTGAGCAGAGCAGTGTGAACCATAGTTGTCTGGGCCACCATGGGGTGATGAGGATCGCATTAGCCTGTTCCTAATGTAACTTGACAATAGTCCTGAGGAGAAGGGGGATAGGAGGGAAGAGATAAATTAGGCCTGATGTCCACGATGTCATGAGAGCATCACCTAGGGAGCTGTGACCGATTCCCATTCTGGAATAATACAGAGGGCATTTTGCATTTTCTGTCGATGCAAAGATGTCTATCTGAGGGTGACCCCAGAGATAGGAAAGTTGATGGAAGATGGTGTTGTCAAGGGACCACTTGTGCATCGGGGTGATGCCTCTGCTCAAGGCATCTGCCAGTTGGTTTTGGCTTGTAGAGATATGGATTGCTATTGGGAATATATGGAATTTGAGACACCATTCCCAGATTTGAACTGTGAGGTAGAGAATGAGTGCCACCCTGTTTGTTGACAGAGAAAAGAGCTGTGGTATTGTCTGTTGTTATCTGAATGGCACTAGCAGTGACGAGTGGTTTGAAGGCACAAAGAGCCTTGAAAACGGCTAGAAGTTCTAGGTTGTTTATATGCAGGTGTTTTTCTGAGGAAGAACAGAGGGCGTGAATGTGGAGACCGTTGCAATGAGCTCTCCAACCGGATGGGCTTGTGTCTGTGGTTATTTACATGGTGAGTTGAAGTGGTGTGAAAGGTCTGCCTATGAATAGATTGTGTGGTGTGTTCCACCATTCTAGCTGGGCTGCCAGTCGGGTGTGACTCTCAGTAACATTGCGAGAGAGTCTGATATTCGGCCGAAGAGGGAGAAATACCACGCCTGCAAAGAGTGCATGAGGCATGCATGTTGAATCACTGATGTTGTCGATGCCATGAGCCTGAGTAGTCATTGGGCATAGTGTGCGGTGACCAAAGCATGGGGATGGAATTGTTGAATCACCTTGTTCAGTTTCATAGCCCATTCTTGTGGAAGAAAGGCTCTTGGTAATCAAGAATCTAGAATTGCCCCAACGTAGTTCACCCGTTGTGAAGGAATGAGTGTAGATTTGGTTCGATTAACCTTTAGACCCAGATTCTCTAGGAGGGAAAGAGTAAAGCCAATTTTCTTCTAGTCTTTTCATAAATTTTGCAGGGACGTCCAGTTCTTGGTAATGTCACTGTAGTGCCACATTATCTCCACTTGATGATGCCTGTCTTCACTGTGTTCCATGGTATATCTAATGCCTTGGAAATTCTTTTGTACCCTTCTCCTGACTGATACCTTTTAACAATGAGATCCCTCTGATGCTTTGGAAGCTCTCTGCGGACCATGGCTTCTGCTATAGGAAGAAAATGTCAGGAAAGACCTACTAGCACAGCTGATCTTTATTTGGGATGCCTCAGAAGCACTTTAAATGATGGCAGGGGTGTACTGACTCCTACTTAACATGAGTTTGAATGTGATTGTTTACTGCTGAACACAGCTACATCCCCAGTTAGAAGAGGGTATGCACACAGATGCAGCCATATTATTTCAGTTTTTTATTTTTACTTCCCTCCACCTAAAAGATTTCAGTTTGTTGTTCAACTGAGTTGTACAGTTCATAGGTCTCATTAAAGGTGGGAAAAGTTTTAAAATGATTTATCTTTGTCTCATTTTTTTACAACAGACACTTGACATTTTAACAGGGCTGTGTAAACTTTTTATATCCACTGTACTTCTGTGACATGAATGGTGTGCCTGGAAATCCCCAACAGGATACTGGCCAAAGCCTAACTCACCAAGAATTTGAGAGATTAACAAATTTTTATTACTTTTCCTGAGCTTGAAATAAATCACAAAAAAGTTGGGAAAAATGTTAAGGTTCCTAATTGCCTTATTTTTGCACAACTTAATGAATGCATTGCTCTATAATTTTTAAGCTTACCATGTCAGTATCCATGGAGACTCTAAGGCCTATCTTGTTCATTCCATTACTTTTGAGTGTTTTGAGATGTGGACGAAAGGCAGTACATGAAGCCAGTGCAATTTCCTTAGCAAATTGATGAGCATGACTCGACAGCTCACTTGTCTTTAACAGGTAGAAGACCTGAAATGCAATTAAAGAAAAACTACTGATAGACTGCCACCCTAAAATTAACAAGTCATAAATTGCAGTAAGAACTAGGAAACAATGCCCATATAGCTAAGCTAAATAAATCATATTGTCTAAGAATTGCAAGGGGCAAAAAATATGTGAGAAATATATACATGTAAATATAAATGTCATAAAATACACAAACATCAGAGAAAGGGGGGGAAATACATGAAGCCTAACAATTCTGTTGAGATAATGATCTCTCCCCAAATATCACGTAATAACAGAGTTAGAAGGGGCCTATAAAGCCATCAAGTCCAGCCCTCCATTCAATACAGGAATCCGAAGCAAAGCATATCTGACCGATAGTTGTCTCATTTTTTCTTGAATGCTTCCTGTGTTGGAACATTCACCTCCTCCCATTGTAATAAATTCTACTGCCATACTGCTTTAACATTTAGGACATTTTTCCTTATTGTCAACAAAAAAACTGGCTTTCTGTAAGTTCAGCCCATTATTACATGTCCTGCACACTCTGGAACAATTGAGAACAGATCCTGACCCTACTCTGTATGGCAATGTTTCAAGTACAGGAAGAATCTTATCTTCCTTGAGTCTTCTTTTCTCAAAGCTATACATGCCCAGTTCTTTCTGTTTTCTGCCCTAGGGCTTGGTTTTCAGTCTCCTGTTCATTCTTGTTGTCCTCCTCTGAACTTATTCCAGTTTATCAGCATCCTTCTTAGTCTGATGTCCAGAAATGGACACAGAACACAAGATGAGTTTTAACCAGTGCCAAACAGAGGAGAAGTAGTACTTAATGGGATTCGGAATGTTGTCCTCCTCTGAAGCAGCCTAAAATACAGTTTCCCCGAAAATAAGACCTAACCTGAAAATAAGCCCTAGTATAACTTTTCAGGATGCTCATAATATAAGCCCTACCCCCAAAATAAGCCCCAATTAAGTGAAACCCCGCCCTCCACCATTGTGCAGCAACCAAAAGAAGATGATGTGACTTTATTTAAACAAATGTAGATTGCTGTACATGAACAAGATAAAACATCCCCTGAAAATAAGCCCTAATGAGTTTTTTGGAGCAAAAATTAATATAAGACCCTGTCTTATTTTCAGGGAAACACAGCAGCATTTGACTGTTGGCTCATATTCAGCTTGTGGCCTACAAGAACTCCAAGATCCTTCTTGCTCATAGTATTATTGAGCCAAGTATCCCCCCCCCGACTTGTAACTATGCATTTGGTTTTTACTAGATGTAGAATTTTAACTATGCCTGTTAAATTTCATTCTATTGTTTTCAGCTCAGTGCTTGAGCCCATCAAAATCTTTCTGTTTCTGTCTTCCAGGGTATTTGCTATTCCACCCAATTTTGTGTCACTGTAAATTTTATAAGCATTCCCTGTACCCCTTTATCTAAGTCATTAATAAAAATGTTGAAGAACATATTTACTTACTTCTGTACACCTTATACATTTTTCATCCATTTCAAAATATTCTTCCTGAACAATTTTTTCACTCTGAACTCCTTCCATGGATTTTCCATCAACTGGGCTGGTAACACTATGAAGAAAGGTTAACATTACATCAATTGCACTAAAGAGGCTTCACTGGTTTCCTTTACAAGCAACCTTGTTCACTCACTATATAAAGTGTGCAATCCTGGTTTACTAATACTGCAGTCCTGTCATTTTGCCTCCGACTTTGGATGTGTGAAGAAATAAGCCGGATTCGGACTAGAAGGCAGCTTTAAACCAGTTTAACATTGGAAGAAAGCCAGGATTTGTAAGAGAAAGAGAGTTATAGTTCCTTGTTCAAATGCATAAATACATTTACATTGAAGTCCTGACTTGTTTTGCTACATGTACAGAGAGGAGCCAAGCAAGGTGGATAGAAATCAATTATTTTTTTAAAATTAAATTTATTCAAATGATCAAAAAGTCTGATTTTCAAAATTTTAAAGCAATTTGATTTAAATCAATCCACCCTGGAACCAAATGGGACCTTTTGGGGAGAAAGGCAGGCTAGAAATGTTTTAAACACACAAACAAACAATTTGACTGCATGGGCCTATTTCTCACATATCCTGGTTATTTGGTTCCACAATACCTAGAATTTTAGCTACTGGCTAATTTCACTGTCAGAAGGGCAGTGGTGTACGCTGCAGCTTCTTAAAATGCATATACAGTATTAGAACATAAGGAGCTCTTATATAATTAAACTGCAGTTTTAGTCACACAAGTTGTTCTTTGCTCTTTTCAGTTAATTTCTCCATTCTCCTACAAGACCACTAAACCACATTTCACACCATTGTGAAAAAATGTCTGACATTAGAAACAGCTATTCAGACTAAAAGATGCTATAGTCCCCTTGCACAAACAGAATTATGAACGTAGATCTTTGAATCCAACTCATCAATCATGAATTAGCAGAAAAAATAGATTGTTAAAATTAACATACCATAGCTCTAATACACACCATATTCAAACTGAACTTGGGAATAATGTCTCATCTATGATCATGTATCCAGCTGTATTTCTGTGTCTGCGTGTGTGCAATCTAGAATGCCAGAGTGTATTGTGGCAGCACCCAGATTTCCTACACAATGATTTTGCTAAATATTCAGTCTTGTTATATTGGCTGAGGCCATTTCAGAGAGTTATCTCTAACTTTGTTGTTGTTTAGTCGTTAAGTCATGTCCGACTCTTTGTGACCCCATGAACCAGAGCACACCAGGCCCTCCTGTCTTCCACTGCCTCCCGGAGTTGGGTCAAAGTCATGTTGGTAGCTTCGATGACACTGTCCAACCATCTTGTTCTCCGTCGTCCCCTTCTCCTCTTGCCCTCACACTTTCCCAACATCAGGGGCTTTTCCAGGGAGTCTTCTCTTCTCATGAGATGGCCAGAGTACTGGAGCCTCAGCTTCAGGATCTTTCCTTTTCTAACTTATGTATGATTATTTGTGCAAAAAGGACCAGAAATAATAACAAAAAGAATTTTAAGAGGTACTGATTCTTTTAAATGCAGAATGGTTTAAAACATATCTACGACACAGCTCCTTGCAGAGTAGATCAGTCTACATGCATTCAGATTAATTACAAATACTGTACATCGCAGAAGCTGTTATGGGCAAACATAGTGCTTCCAACATATAGCAGTTTTAATAGGGGTTTCAAGATATGTGAGATACTTAAGGAGTGGTTTTACTATTGCCATCTCTCAGCAAGTTTCCATAGCCAAGCAGGGATTTTTCATTTTATGGGTATACTGTGTATATACTTACAATGAAATCTAGATGGGTGGGGTATAAATCGAATAAATAAATAAATAAATAAAAATTGAACCCAAGTCTCATGAGTCTATCACAGTATCCACTATATCATGTTGGCTCTCAAGGATGATTTAAAGGTATTAGTAAAAGTCATACCTCACATTTGTTTTTTCTTCAATGTCTACCCAACAAATGTCTACATATTCTCTCAGCTCTTCTGAATCCACTTTGCCACATGTAATTCTAAAATCCTTTTTTTCTCTTAAAGCTTGGCGTAAGCCATCCATCATTTCTGGAGTAATTTGTACCATTATTCCATCTATGAAGAAAAACACTCATTTTACTAATACCAAAAAAAAAGTTATGGATATTTTATTAAAACAGTAATGAGACACTCCTTAAGATCTGTATCTGCCAGCTAAGGGGGGCAGGAGAGGGATAGGGTTTGGCAGAAGGGGATTCTGACACTCAAGTTATGCCAGCAGAAGGTATGCCCATTATGGCCAAAACAGGGGTGTGTGTGTGAGGTAGACATTTCAACCATATTCTTTAAACTACTAAAAGGTGGGACACAGCTTCCAATCAAAGCACACCACCCCCACCACATAAGCCCCAAATGAGAAAATAAGACAACAGGGTATTCAGCATGGAGTTCCTTCTCTAGCACAATTATGGCTCCCAAAGGAATTCTGGTGAAGGGAACTATGGAGAAAGGACACATCCCACAAATTAAGCAGCTTGCCCTCACCACCCACATAGCAGAACATGAGCACATTTCTAGTGTCTCTCTGCTCAAGAGTCTGAACAAGAACTAGAGGCTTAAACACCAATTTAAACCATTCAAAACTTCTCACTCAGGTATAGTATGTAACTGCCTGAGTGATGTGAGGGCATAAATATAAGACATTGGAATAGCACATTCTAAGATAAGGAGGCCCTTAATATTACCAACATCTAAATCAATTGTCACTAAAAAGCACGCAGATCCGTACCTTCTACAATACTGGATTTAGCCAGGAAACCAGAAGATGTTTTTAGAGATCCATTAAACACAACAAAGCTTGCACCTGTAACTGGAAAAAACATCACATGCTTCAATTATACAGACTTAATATATTGATTAATCCTCCAGAGTTTTTATACTGGCATAATGCACTTAGTGCAGATCTCACTGGCAACTTCCACAAGTTAAGGTAGTGCAGGTATCTGTGAGGGCACCCAGTCCATCCATAAGTAAGTCTTTAAAACCATCTCTGATGTCTCTATCTTCTCGTGTCAGGGCAGTGTGACCTTTGTACTTGGGATCTCACTGGGTACTGCTGGCAAGATCTCCTGATGACCCACAGCAGCCTCCTATCCTTTGGGTATCACCCTTGCTGCAGTGGGGAATGTTGAGTTTAGATGGGAAAGGCTTTTCAGTTAGGGACAGCCTGACAAAGTAGGTGCAGATTGCTGGATTGTTTGTACCACTTGTTCACCCAGGGGTGTCAGCCCGTTCCTTTGCTCCATTCCCCTCTTCTTCTGCCACCAATGAACTCTGAACCTCTATTTGCACAGGAATTTTCCCACCCTTCATCCTTGTGTTTTCCTGTGCCATTTGACTAAACAACTAGGGCAAATGACACTCCTTTAATTGTGGGGAAAGAAGTTATTCATAGCCTTCTCTCAATCTCCAGCTAGGACCATGGAGTCTCAGGTAAGATGCCAAAAGTGATCCCAGCTATGGGCGAGCGCCACTCATTCACATTTTATCAAGCTGCATATCTCAGTGTGCAACAGCAAATACCTACACTGACATCTTGACTTGTGACAATTTGCCAAAGGAATGTATGCCCACTCGGGTGTCGTGCTAGCGGGCACACCCAATAGGATTTTGGTCATTATAAGCAAAACTCTAATTGGTATGTGCATTCTGTCCTTTATTAGAAGTGCTCACAGCCCCCACAGTTTTAGAAAGCATAGTAGGCTCAGAGCATCCCTAATATCTGCTCAACTTGCAATAATTAGCATGCAATAACAGTTTTAGAAAGCATAGTAGGCTCAGAGTATCCCTAATATCATCTGCTCAAGTTGCAATAATTAGCATGCAATGCCATGCCTGGGATCTCTAAAGGTAGCCACAACTCAGTGGAGAGGAGATTCTTGGAATGCAGATGGTACCAAATTCAATCCTTAACATATCTCCTTTTTAAAAGGGATGCAGACAGAAGGGCCTATTAGTGTCAGCATATAAGAAGAGGCAGAATTAATTATTTCACATTTATCACAGTTTTAAGACACCCACAATTGTAAGAGATCAAAATTTTAAAGCAGAAAGATGTTGCTTATGGGCAGTTTCTTCCTTAAGTTGAACACATTCCAATGCAGAACAAGAAACGATATGTATTAAGGTGATGAATGTCATTACAGTTATTTCTTTTTTCTGAGAGGGGAAATGGTCCTACATCCCAGAAACATAATTAAGAGAATGTAAGTCAATGAATCCAATGTTGTTATAAAACTTACTTTTCCTGGGCTCTCCAGTAGCACTGTTTGCTTGTGTCTGATAGACCCCATCATCATTCTGTACACACACTAAGTGAGAATCTGCCTCAGAACTAAAACTTGCCCCAATGCTGATAACATGTTCATTTGAAGTATTCATTATTTTCATTACCTGCAATTATAAAAATGTTGTTAAATGTTTTTGGCTTTAATGTTTTATTTCTCACTTCTAAGAAAAAAGTGTTCAAGGATGTGATTCCAAATGCATTTACCTGGAAGTAAATCCCAGCGAACACAATGGAACTTACTTCTGAATAAATATGTAGAAGAGTGAGCTAGGATTAAGGCTTCCTTCCCACAACTTTGCTACTAGCACACCATTCTATTTAACAAAGCTGCTGCTTTAGTATAAAGAACACCAACATTTTGCACTATCAGTCCTATCCCCATACTGTAAGTGTGGCTACAGCATCATTTTGTTTAGTCTCATAAAGTCCCAGAGTACAATTCATGTCAGTTTTCTCTCTAACAGAACAGGGCCTCAACTTATCTCAACTCTCCAAATAAAGTTTGAGGCAAGGTAAAGGTAAAGGTAAAGGTTCCCCTTGACAATATTTGTCCAGTCGTGTCTGACTCTAGGGGGCGGTGCTCATCCCCGTTTCCAAGCCATAGAGCCAGCGTTTTTGTCCAAAGACAATCTTCCGTGGTCACATGGCCAGTGCGACTTAGACATGGAACGCTGTTACCTTTCCACCAAGGTGGTCCCTATTTATCTACTTGCATTTGCATGCTTTCGAACCGCTAGGTTGGCGGGAGCTGGGACAAGCAATGGGAGCTCACTCCATCGCGTGGATTCGATCTTACGACTGCTTGGTCTTCTGACCCTGCAGCACAGGCTTCTGTGGTTTAGCCCGCAGTGCCACCACGTCCCTCAAAGTTTGAGGCAAGGTAAGTCCAAAATGTCAGTAGACAACACTTCAGTTGGGGCTAATGTCAGAGAAGTGGCTGAAGTTCCTCAATGCCATCTAGCATGTGTGGGAGTCAGGGCAGGGAAATCAGCTTACTATTCCAAAGGTTTCCCCACTCCAGCTTCCATGGTCCCTTAACTATGATCCAAGTTTACATCCAGAACCAAAAATTATACTTACCTCATTGTATCTCTTTAGAGGTATTTTAACACAGCTTCTACCCATTTCCATATGAATAACTAAATTATCTATTGTAAGCAATGTATATTGATAGTTCCTAAGATCCTGCAATGCAATAAACAGAACATTACTCAAATAATTTAATTTTAAGCAACATGATTACCATATCTGTCCACAGTGTAAAAAAGGAATTATCACCCTGAATTTATTATAGCTAACTGGTCACAGGAATCTTCAGGCATTATTTAAGGAAGTGAAGCCCTCACACATAATTGAAAAAGGAAATGGCTGGCTGAATAATGCAGCGATTTAGGTGTCTGGCTGCGGAGCCTGAGGTTAGGAGTTCAATTCCCCATTGTGCCTCCTAGGAGAAAAACCAGCCTGAGCGGCCGTGCGCAAGCTGCTCAGACCTAGGGCATCCCCAGAAGAAGAAAATTGTGAACCACTTCTGAGTATTCTCTACCTAGAAATCCCTGGAAAGGGTTGCCATAAATTGGAATCAACTTGACGGCATGTAATTATTATCATCACCATCATGCATATTTCAGCAATAATCATGCATTTAATACAGGGATCGACATTTCTTTCATTTCTGACATTACATGTTAATATTAAAAACAGGACAAAGGCAAAATATAGCAAAAACAGATACTCACAACAAGCAAGTTCATGAGTGTGTGTCCTATCTCCCAAAACAGTGGTTTCCTATGCCTGATACTAGTTAAAGGAGTTGGGTACACTAGCAGAAAGAAAAGAAAAATGCAAAGTAGGCATCAATTTCTAAGTAACACAGGGTTTTTAAAGGAAATCTTAAGATTTCTGGAACTGGCATTTATATATGAAGTAAAATACACTGGCCAGAATCTACAGCAGTGCAAAACAGATCTACAGTCTCAACAGAGCTTTTGATTTATGCTGTCTGAAATGCCATCTCAATACCATACAGCAAATTTCAAAGGCACTTTTCAATATAATATGAACAACTGCTATCCAAAGGGTTGTAGTAATAGGTGCTGATAGACAGGCCCAAGCCCTTAGGAATATAAAATGCTGGAATAATTTGGGAGTGTCCATGATACTGCTGAAAGTAGGTGAGTATATGATTTGTCTCAGGTATGGAAACCAGTAGAAATCCCATGCAGAATATACAATTTTATTTATTTATTTAATTACAAGCAAAATAAGTATACTATTTTCTTTAAAATATAAGCTAAATATTTTGTCTATGACATCTATAGGAACTCTACACATATAATCAATGTGCTAAAAGTTTGGAGAAAAATAAATTATGTATATAAAAGCTTAAGTAAAAGATTACTATCTTAATAGTGAATTTTCTTAATTTCCATTTGATCCATTATTTAAACCACCCCTTTTATACTCTTTCCTTAGTCCACTATGCAGGAAATGAACTAGTCTCTATTCAAAAACTTTTACTGGCCTAACCAAACAAACATACTTTATAGTCATAGCTCCAACTACATCTGAAGGGCCAGAGGTTCCCCATTCAGTAATGCTTAACTTTGAGTGTGTCATTTACAACTACAGAAAAACGAGCTGACACTTTTCTGGGATGATCCTTTCCCTTTCTCTTTTTAAGGTATCTATGAATCTTAGAAAAATTGTTATATCACATTTCCTCTTAAAGTAATACCTGGTGGGAGGCTCTGTCCAGGGCTGTTTTAAATCCAAGTGTGTTTTATTTTTATCCCTACCTAAATGCTTGCTGACATCCTCAAAGAGCTCTGAAAATATGTGAGACTAGAATACCAATTTTTAAAAAATCTTGCTGGAACAACCTCTCTAGATTCATCTGGAGAGGGAAGAATGGATGACAACGCTCACAGAAAATAAATTGATAAGCTATTGTTAATTTGTATGTTGAATACATTGACAATGAGTTCCAGTTCAATTACTTCCACTATCTGTAAGAAGGCAATCAGAGATGCCCAGAGAAAGCTGAAATATACTGTCAAAGGTTTCCACAGGAAGACGCATCAGTGAAATTGATTCTGGCAACTTGAATGATAGGTCACAGACCTCAGATCAATATACAATGGATAATCTTTCTCATAGGATGAGTAACTGAAATTATTGAAATTAAAACTCACCCCCATATTCTGCTCCCAATCGCAACATTAGGCGAATCGGAAACACTTTTGCCCAAGGTACCTCCTGTTTCTGAATTAGAATGCCACATATAAAAGGTTTTTTTGGTAATTTGAGATCATCCAGTTTTTGAAAAGTTGGTGTAACGAAGAGGAATCCACCATGCTCCTTGCTTCCCAAGAACCCTTCAGTGAAGGTAATGTTTTCTAAATTTCTTATGAATCTACCTGGTTAAAAGAACAGTTCCAGTCAAACATAATGAATTCATTTTTGGCACTTACAGCCATGGCAATAATAATCATAACTTCTAAAGGAGCAATTTTAGAAATCAATGCGCTACTACAGAAATTGTGTATTGCATCCAGAGAAGAATTATCAGATTTCTTGTCAGGCAGAGGGCTTTACTTGTCATTCTGGCACAATAAACCTTCATGTACACTTCTAAATATTTATTTGTTTATGTAACTGATGTCTCTCCTTTTTCCCAGACTGGGATGAAAGAAAGCTCTCAACAAGATTACAACAGAAGTAAATAAAAAATATACCAATAAAAACATGCAAATAATTATCATATTATAATGCAATTAACATAACTATAATATATAAATACAGTGGTGCCTCGCAAGATGAAAGTAATTCGTTCCGCGAGTAGCGCTGTCTTGCGAAATTTTCATCTTGCGAAAAGCGGTTTCCCATAGGAATGCACTGCAATGCATTCCTATGGGAACCTCGCAAGATGAATGAATTATTTTCGTCTTGTGAGGCATCGATCTTGGGGGGGGGGGGCATCTTGGGAAGCACAGCCATAAAAGAAGCCGTCTTGCGAGGCACCACAGCAATCGCAAAAATCATTTGTCTTGCGGGTTTTTCATCCTGCGAGGCGTTTGTCTTGCGAGGCACCACTGTACTATGGAAAATATATCGCTGGGAGAAACAGCCTCTGGAAAGAAAACCATTCAAGTATTTCCCCCTTTGGTAGGGTATCCCTCACACAATCAGTCACACACTGGTCATGAAACCAGTTGTACAGTTAGGCAAAGGGCACCACCAAAGGCGGAACCACTTGTGTGATTCCTGTTGCATGTGTGATTCCTCTCAACAGGATTCTTATTTACCAAAATAAAAACATTTAAATACATATCCAGCTTTTTTTTAAAAAACGACACAGCATAAAACCACCACAGCCATTTCTTTAGACTGTCAGTCCATTGTCAAAATAATGCTGGAATAAGTTGCTGGAAAGTCTATGCTGGAAACTCCTGGTAGTCCAGCAGCTTTTGATTAGAGAAGGGAATGAACCTTGGTTTGGAGGTTTGTGCTGATTTCTACGCACAGCACCACAGGTACCATGTATTCCTTTCCCCCGCCTCCCTGGTCAATGAACCACTCACCTGCTCAATGACCTGCTCCTCTCCTCCTCCTCTTCAGCTGTTAAACCAGTCCACAGCAGGAGCATAGGTTTGCCTGTCCTGCCTCCTTATCTGAGGTGGGCGATTAGCAAGGAGGTGGAGCAGGGAAGCCTGTGCTCCCGTCGGAGACTGGTAGAACAGCCCAAGAGGAGGAGGAGTGCGCATTGGCTGGTGAATGGGGAATCCAGCCCAGGAGGTGGATGATGGGAACACACAGCACCTGTGGTTCGTGCCCATTTCTACTTTTGATCTATTTTTCCAAGGAATCTAGGATTCCTCAGTATGAACTCAGTAGTAAGGCTAGACCGATACAGCTCCCTAAAAAATAGTTTGCACATCGTTACTGCAGTTCCCCTGCAAAAAGCAACTGCTGGCATACATTAGCTCAGTTCTTAGGGTTGGGTAATTTATAAAAGAAGATGAAGCCAACCAAGTAATGTATGTGAAATGAGCATGTGTGTTAAATGCCCTTCTTCTAAATAAAGTCTCTGCATCACACACACTGATCTGGTAATCTGAAAATCATTGTTCTCCCTGCACCACCCAATTTCTTCCAATATTGCAATAACATTTGGATGCATCTTTGGCATGCTTGAGTACAGAAGTTGCCCTGTCAGTCAAGAGAAATGGACTGGCATTCATCTCCTGGGTCTGTGATCAATTAAAGAGAATAGTTACTTTTATGAAACTGTATCTATCATGAACTACAATATCTTACATTTATTAAGAACTGTAATGAAAAGTGAATTTTAACAGGTAAACAAGACTGCTCAGAGAATGGAAAAACTAAGCAGATATACCTAAATATAAAGTTCTAGCCTATGCAAAAGATTTCACACAGGCTAACTTGTTTTAACAATATAGCAGGATTAATGTTTGCATGTAAACAATAGTACAGTGCATAAAATGCATGGCACTCCATATATTCTACTTTAAAAGTTTAATTAAGCTTCATACCTTTCATGGCATCCTTATATATGCTGATAAACAACTGGAAGATTTCTTTAGGAATGCCATCTTCATTTGGCAAAGAAAGTAATAGTATAATAATTTCTGCCTGTCCCAAACCATGCAGTCCATTGGTTGAGAAGTACCAGCACCTTTCTGAATGATCTTAATAAAAATGAAACACACAATTAAATAGTAAGCCTAACTTTTTTGCCTAAACGTAGAATGTTCACAAATGTAAATGTTTATACATCTGAAAATAATGTGCATTTTTGGAACAATCTGAATTGGAAATTTAATCAGAAAAAATTCCAGCACTCAAATTAAAGCACAATCTGATTTAGCATGTTTATTAAGACATCTCTTTATGAAAAACATCTTAAATGTTCCAACATCTAAAATATCCAAATCTTTCAAAATTCCATTCCCGTAAATTCAAAAATTTATATGGAAACTACATCTAATGAGCTCTACATACTATGCTGAGGCTGTTTACTCATCTGTTTCTAAAAGAATTTAACTCTCTTCCACCAAACTCACTTGAGGCACCTCCAATTTCACTCACTGAAGGAGCTCTTGCACTCCTTTATTACGTTTCTGACTGAGGAATTTTATGAATTGAGTATTTTTCAAAAATGAATGTAACGGAAAAATTAAGCTCTTGAAAATTTCTATCCCATATTAATGCTTCTGCATAATAACTAACTGTGAGATTCACTGTAGAGTCAACAATGTCTCTTGAGTCCTCATAGAGCAAAAGTGGGCAAAGTGTATTGGGGGGCACTTAGTTTTGCCATATCTTAGTGACTGATCACCCCTCTCATCGCACCCCCCAATTTCAATTAAAGGAAAACTGCCTACATCAACCTGTTATGATACAGTATAGTATAGGGCCTTTTCTCCAGGTGAGCCACGTTTAGGTATCTGTAGGCGCGAACTTGTCAGACAGAACTCCCAGAATATAGTAAAATGGAAATTGTAGTCAAAAAAATCTCCAAATCACATGCCTATTTATTTCTGTTAATGCATATTTTACATTACCAGTATGGGGCCTAACTGGGAAGTCTTCATAGCCTAGTGGCAGGGCAGCTTCTTTACTAAAGAAGAAGCAAGGGCAGAGTTAATCCATGAAGCCTTCCTAGTTAGGCCTTTACTCCAATTGAGCAACATTTAGGTGTCTACAGGTGTGGGTCTTCAGGTGGAACTGCTGGAATGGAGAATTACAGGACTTGTAGTCCAAAAAACCATGCCTACTCACAGAAAAGATAAAAATTAGTACTACTTACAAGATACTATCTTGACATTCACAAGAAGGTTTGCATTTAGGATGAATGTTAGCGGATTAGATTCTTCAAGTAGAAATGTAACTTCCTCGTGAGAAGGATGTTCTTCCACTAAGGATTCTACAGAATTTATAAATAATTATTTAAATAGTAGAAGTAATTTTCCTAATATTAATAGGAAGACAGAGTTAAGCCTGAACTGCAAGGTATTTTCTCCTGGTAACAGAAAACAAGTGCCTAACTACAGCCTTCCCTGCTACCTAAAAACCCACTTGGGGGTGTTTCTCAGGCCTTTGGCAGCAGTTTTGAACAGTACGTATGAGGTGCTAAAGGAGAGGGAACCCTCTCTTTTGGTTCTACAGACAGAAGCAGTTTCTTCAACTGGAACCTGCTTACAGTAAGGTTACTCGTGTTTAGAACAAATCGTACATCTGTGAGCTAAGCCTACTATAGTATGCAATGGGTACAGAAAACATGAGGCTGAATTGGCTTTAACATTAATAGGAAAAGCTATGACTAACTTGCTCAGTAGGATCCATGTTTAACTAACTTGGTCTGAACTGAAGCCACAGAAATCATTTTTACATATTTTTCTCTACCCTGGATTTCCTGTTGTACAGATCCTTACTGGCTCCACTACTTCTAGTCAGAGTCAGTGCCTTCCTCCTCTGAGGTTCACTAACAGTTGATATCCTAATTTACTTCAGTTACAATCAACATAAATTTATAGGCTTGAAACTGTATAAACCATAGGATTCTTGTCACACACTGCTACAGTTATGCAAAATAACCTATCCACAATTTAGAATGTGACAGATACAAATCATGGACATAAAATATAGGAAATTTTCAGTTCAATGCCCATTTTTAAACACCAAGTCCTGACTTCTATAGGAAGGGAAAACTGTCCAGCAGTAAGATGCGAGTATATTTGGACACAACATCTTGCTAGAAGAAACATACCTTTGTCTTCTTCTCCTCTTGCAAGCAGAAGAGGTGGCAAACCATCCTCAGGAATAAGGCTGATGTTCTTGCTGACATGGTTTTCAATTCCACACAACACCTGGTAATCTAATGGACTAACAGGTAAATCATTATTTTCATTATTTGTGACAGCAGCAGGATGCTTTGTTGGTTCAACAACAGTGGGGATTTCAGCAACAGCAGTAATCACGCAGTCAGAACTACATGACAGTTGAGATTCATCTTTAGGAGGCTGTGTATCTTCTTCTGGAAGGACAGAAGTGGGACAACATAAGATCTCAGTTCGTCCAGTAGCACATGTTTCCTCTTTTGGCATTTTCTCAGCTGTACAGGTTGTACCATTTGTTGCACTTTCAACCTAAGACAGAAGTTTTTCAGTTAGATCAGACATTCACTTGCATTCAGTGTGAAGTCTCTAAAAGCATTTCTAATATGATTTTGCCTTGAGCATTTTTGCCACTGAAAGGCAAAAAATGATAACAATATTTTAAATAAACAAAAAGGGATGAAGAGAAACAGGCAGGTTTATGCACGATTCTACAGCCACACGCTGATGTGCAGATTATTGTTCTCCAAATTAAAGGGCCTCTGTTGCCTATCTTGACTGGTACAGGCTCTTACATTCATCTAGCTTTAAATTAGTCTTTCCCCTACCTACAGTGCTATGTGGAAAGTAAAATTTTGAACTTGGACTGGTGAGACATGTGTTCAGTTCCCACTAACCTACCTCGTGATGCCTGCCAACTCATTTCAAATGGATTACGCAATAATGGAAAATGATGAGGATTTACTCTCAGATAGAATCACTGAATCATAGAATAATGGAGTTGGAAGTGGCATACAAAGCCATCAAGTTTAATTCTCTGCTCGGTGCAGGCATCCAAATCAAAGTATATCTGACAGTGGCTGTCAGAAACCTGGGGTAATGGAGAGATACTAAGGAATTACTTACATATTACTGAGCTACAACTCTGGCTGCAAACCCGCAGCATTTTAACAATCCAAGAGAATAAAAATAACAAAATTACAAAAATTAAAAAGTGATACATAGAATATCCAGGGTATGCAATCCTGCTAACAGAGAAAATTAGCAGATTGTATTTGAAGCCACAGAATAGGACATCCAGACAAGAGGTATTTTTTTTGCCTGCACTACACTAAAAGCCCAGTACTTAAAATGCTTACACAGTAGTACAAGCACAGACACACTGACTGTGTCTATGTCAGCTATTTGCACTAGCATATAATTCTGTTTTCTCTCATCTGTGTTGATATTGCAGAGACACCCCCCAAACAAATGTTATCCCCTCACCCCAAAATACTAAATTTTAAAGCAAACTGAATATTAAAGACTAATGGCAACACACTGAGGAAGCAAAGTACTAATCACTGCAGTGGTTTTTCCAGCCTTTTGTCCTGAAATCAATTCAAGGGAACAACTACATGCAAGACAAGTTTGTTCCAATAGTCTAAGCTGATTTTACAATGAAATAATTTTCTAGTCCTCTGTGCAGTGGCAGACTGTATAGTAATATACAGGGTCAGGTTCCAGCAACTAATTTAAAGAAAATCCAACTCACTTTTTACTCTATATTCAAAAAACAAAATATGTATGGTCCAATGTTTTTCTGAGAACATAAATTGCAAACTTCTAACAAATTAAGGCTTACAGGATATGGTTCCTGTTGGGATCTTCTGACTCCAGATGACAATTTTGTTGTGTCTGCAACTTCCCCATTAGGCAAAATGCCATCTGCAAACCAAACTCTTCTCTGTTCTTTAGGGTAAAGTCCTAAAGGAGAAAGATGAAAAGTAATTACTCAAAAGCGAAGAGAAAAGCAAAATATTGTTCCAGGTGCCCAAGCTGCTGCCCCTCTGTGCACAAACAGAAGACAGCTTACTAAGAACAATACAAAAGCCATGTTCGATTGGAGCAAAGATCTGTCTAGTCCAGGATTTTTGTTCCCACAACTGCCAACCAATATGGGAAGCTCACCAACAGGAAATAAGTAAAAACAGTGTACCTTCTATCTTGCACTCCCCAGCAACTGGTAAGACAGAACCACACTGCTTCTGATATTGGCAATAATATACAACCATCCTAATAGCCTCCAATAGAACTGCTATTAATACATCAAATTTACCATCTGAGCTCCAAGCTGGCAACCATCTCTACATCTTGTGATAAAGAATTCCACAGATTTCCCATGTGGTGCATTAACAAGTAATTACCGGACAGTCTCTAATATCCCATTCTTGGACTAGGTGCTGAAGCGGGTTGTGGCTTCTCAGCTCCAGGGGTTCCTGGATGAGATGGATCATCTAGATCCATTCCAATCTGGCTTTAGGCCTGGTTATGGGACAGAGACTGCTTTGGTGGATGACCTAAGCTAGGAACTGGACAGGGGGAGTGAGTCCCTGTTGGTTCTGCTGGACCCCTCAACAGCTTTCGATACCATCAACCATGGTATCCTTCTGGGCTGTCTCTCTGGGACTTGGAGGCATTGTTCCACAGTGGCACCAGTCCTTCCTGGAGAAAGAAAAAACTCAGAAAGCAGCACTTCGGGACTCTTGTTTGACTCCCAGGCTGTCAGTTTGTGGTGTTCCTTGGGGTTGTGTCTGGGGTGGGACATGTAGGCATTGTTTTACAGTGGCTCTGGTCCTTCCTGGAGGGGAGCACTCAGCAGGTAGTGCTGGGGGACTCCTGTTCAACACCGTGGCCTTTAGCCTGTGATGTCCCCTCAGGAATCTGCTTGTCCCCTATGCTATTAATGGTTGTCCTCTATTGTTTTAAATGTGTTTTAGTATTGATTTCATTACTGTTTTAATATAATACTCGTTTAATTTTTTAATATTTTTATACCTACTGTTTTTAGCTTCTACACATTGTCTTTTTAATGATGTAAGCTGCCTTGGGTTCTTTTCAAGGAGAAAAGTGGGAAAAATATTTTAAACAAATCTGTTAGTTGTCCTGAATCTCCCACCATTCAGCTTCTGTAGAAGACCGACATTTTACTGCTATGAAAAAAAGTGAAATGCTTCTTTCTGTCCAATTTCTCACCATGCATAACTGTACGGCACCTTTATAATACCTGTCACTATCATACGGCAGACCTTAGTGAGCAAAAAAATTCTAAAATAAGTATACAAGATATAAAAAACCACAGAATTTCTGCCTAACTGAACTGCTGCAATAGAACACTAAAAAACCAGGTTTGTAAAGGTCTCAAATGCATGCAGGGACTTGCTAAGGGGCCACAAGTAACTAGCCTCAGGACATTTCCTTTTCACCCGCTCTATCTACAGTTTGGATCCTTGTCCTAGAAATGCTGAATAGACCACAAGGGAATTCTTCACAATTTGCTTGGAGACAAAGTTTCTTCCTCATGCAGGTTCCCCATATTTAGGCTGAACGTGGTAGCATGCCACAGATATAGAGAAGCAGTTGTGTTACTTTTCAACTGTGATGTCAACTGAGCTTCTGCCCAATAACTGGAACTAGTCAATAACTGTAATATGTATGTAAATCTACTACAAATAACACACCTAACCACAACAACCCAGCTGGGGGGAAACATTCTTGACCTCTCACCTTATACACTGGGGAAAATAAATATACACCAAAACAGAGGCAATTGATGTGCTATCCCGCATTAAAAAACATATTTATTACAACTTCGTTGTGCATCAATGTACAGAAAGGTCCTCGTAATAAATTTATTTTTGGTTAAATCTTGTAACACATTCTTCAGCTTACTACTACCATTTGGGTGTTTAAACACAGAGGTAAATAATGAACCAGAAGGAGATTTAGGTGTACCAGATGCCTGAGCTTCTTGCAAAACTGGAATAGTCGGACTTTCAGAAATAGCAGAATGAGGCACAGGACCAGTAGGGCTCATCATCCTTTCCAGTGCCTGTGCTAACAAACAAACATTAAAACGTTTAAGTGCCATAACTATATAGTATACATCCTGATTATTTCCTGTCTCCCTCCATTCCTTGAAAAGGGCCACAAGCTATTTATATCTCCAAGACCTCTCAAGATAAATTTTGGATAAATCAAACCTGGTCCCAATGTAACTAGCACTACAATATTTAATTGGGGTCATATGGGGTTCTGGGTTTTTTATTTGTAAACCATCCAGAATAGTGTGTCTGTCCAATAGGGGGGAAGTACAAATCAACCAATCAAATAAATTAATAAATAAATAAATAACTTTGATTAATCAAAGTGGTTTTTATTTAAAAAATGTCAAACAACTGTTATAAAAATCTAAGTTGGTACTGATCATCTTAGAAAACCCATTCTCTCTGTATAAGATGGAGAAATTCTTATTTCACGATACCATCTCACAACAAGAATATGCAGTCTGAAAACAAGGACAGTGTGTTTCTTACTTCAGAACATTAAATGTAGTCATTTGCCTAAATGAATTAATAAATAAAACGATCTTTATATCCTGCTTTTCTTCTGTTATAAAATTCAAAATGTCACATGTAACATTTCTAGGCCATTTACTATCCTGATACTTAACAGATCTACCTAACTTTTAGTTAAGTGGCTGCATTACTACTGCTCAGTCTTGTTTTTCTTTGCATAAGTTATGCCTGAGTAAGTTTGCCATGCGCCATGTCTAGGCAACAAGGATTTCACAATTTGATTGTGCAGTCAAATGGTTCTCATCGTGACCGCTGTATGGCACACATGCAGAAGTGCTTCATCATGCTGTAATTTTCACTACCATTATTGCAGCCTGGCACTGTGCACGTGGGGCTGCACAACAGGATTCCAGCCACTAGACTATCATGTGCCATCAAGTTACTTCTGACTCAATGAAGAAGTGACCTCCAAAATGTCCTATCCGAAGCAGCCCCCCTCAACTCTTGCAAAGTAGACAGGATACTACAATTAATTAACTGATTAAAACTTACAGTCAAAATCCTACTGCAACATATCATGCAAGTAAGGGCAATTATGGACTTGTTTTTCAAAATGTTGTTGGCTCCTCAGCACGCAATGGAGGACAAGATAGACAGCTGGCAAGACTGTGCATAACATTAACACAATTGCTGATTTATGCTGTGCAATTCCAAAAGAATTCTGGACACATATCTAACAGTTCTTCTAGTTATTTTTTCTGTTTCTTCTAATTCTCTCCAATAATCTTTTTACCTTTGTTTATGAACTCATAACATCCTACGCAAACTCTTGCTTCTTTGTCCAGATACTGAAGTTTGCATTTTCGATTGCAACAGGAAGTACAAAAAACCTAGATTAATACAGAAGTTAAATTAAGACCTCATAGAGACTGTACACTGCCAATAAGAAAAGGCATAAAGAAGTGGATGAACTGGCATAACATAACTTAGTCATTTGAGTACCAGATTTGCTTAATACATTTATAAATCAACATTATAGAATAACACTGATACCTCATGAAGAGTGAAGATCAACTAACCTCATACTGGCATATTACAACTATTAGTATTAGTATTAATAAGAATTATTTGCTCCATGCCTTGCTTTGATCTAGGAACCATTCTCAATCACTGGTATACTGAACAGGCTGAATAATGGATTCCGGTTCATATCCTCTCAGTTAGCCATGAGAACCCATTGGGTGATCTTGGGCCAGTGACAATTTCTAGTCTAGAGACAGCAAATTGCAAAAATAGAGAGCCGCCTAGAGTGGTCTTAACCGACTAGATAGGCGGGATA